TTCTCCATCAGTAGTTGTTTCTCCATCAGTAGTTTTTTCTCCATCAGTAGTTGTTTCTCCATTAGTAGTTGTTTCTCCATCAGTAGTTGTTTCTCCATCAGTAGTTATTTCTCCATCAGTAGTTGTTTCTCCATCATTAGTTGTTTCTCCCTCAGTAGTTGTTTTTTCATCAGTGGTTGTTTCTCCATCAGTAGTTGTTTCTGTCAAACTGTCAAATTGTATATCAGGTATTATAAGTTTACATAATAGAGATTCATTTCCGATGGAAGCAATTCTGAATCTATTATTTGTAAGAATTTGAGCGTTGTCTGATACATTTTGTAGCCCAATTGATGTTCCGGTAAAACTAAGTTTTAAATTGGGATTAGAGTAATAGTTTATTCTAGTTTCAAATGTAGGTTGGCTGTAAGCCATTATTGTTCTATATCCTCCAGGACCTGACCCTGCTGGTATTAAATATCCATGTCCATAGGGATATGCTGTACTTGTTGTAGTTAGTGGATCATGTTGACAACCAAAATTATGTGCTAGCTCATGACTGAATGTGAAGTATCCAACTGCGCATGATTTCATGGACACTGATAAGGTCAGACCATTGGAAATTGTGTTAAAGAAAGCAATTCCACATGCGTTCATGCTGCTTACAAGAAGAACAGCAGCATCTGCGCTTTCTCTTAACTCTTCAACTGAATATTTCATGTATGCAAAGGTATAGATCATTGAAGTAGGATCAGCCCTCTCTTTTATTGTAGCCAGCTCAATGCAATGATTGACTATGTTTAGAGGTATTTTGCTGTTGGCGTATCCCTGATTTGTTTCAGCAAGCATTTGATTAACATACCCGTTTATGTCAGGTGTTACTGCAGCAAACTCTTTGGTGTAGTATATTTTTACAGATATTGTTACTAATGAAAAATTATCAACTCCTTCATTAATTACTGGAAGTACGTTTTGACTGGCCATCTCATCAATTGCAATGTTTGCATTTGTTAACCCTGTCACCGAATGCTCTATCAATTCTTGCACATTTATTTCCTTCCAAATGTGACCATACATGCCACAGTTTTCAATGATAAATGTTTTACCCACTGGATTTTGTAAATGGCCATGCAAACTTTTTTTTACAGGATCATAGGTAATGATAGCATTGGTAAAGTTACTTCCATAATGAAGACAATTTTCATCTTTTCCAATAAAATCATCAAATTCCAAAGTCAAATTGCCCGGAAAAGTTAAAAAATGTTCTCCAATAGTATCAAAGTTGACATTTATTCGTTGACAGGTTACAATTTGCTTTGCCTGACAACACGGTATAGTTGTATTATTTTGAAGGACATCTTCATTTATTGTGAACAACACATTTCCAGCAATACCTAAAAGAAAGTAAATGCAGAGACAAAACTTTATTTCAGTACAAAACACAATATCCAACGAAACATTAGTGTATGAAATATACCTCTGAGGGTTAGTGCAACAAACCAGTGCTTAATGAATAATCTATGCATGATAAGTAGTGACTGCTAGTGCTGACCATATCTAACATCAGACAACTATTGTGTCATTTACTCATTCATTCAGAGTTTTATTGGTATACATCACATATTTGGGAGGGGGGGGGGGTGCACAATTCTTAAACAACCTTTTATATTTATTCTCAAACCTTTATCACACTTTTTATAAAATCAGAATTAATTAGTGCTTTCTTTAAATTTTTTCAAATGCATTCTTATGTGTACTGCATGCATTTATCTATTTTGTCAAGGCTATCAATATCTCCGACCAAATTAAAAACAAATTGATTCTAAATTACCAATAATCTGTCTGCTTACCTTTTATTGACATGAATTAAAACAAACAACAAAGATCTAATTTTAGAACCACTAAATAATATCCATTTAGTTGTTTTTGATACAGATTTTTAAAGTTTTAACGATCTTTTTTTCAACTGTTTCAAAGAAAACTTTAGAACTAGTGCAAGGTGGATTTGAGCATTTTCAAAAAAAATGCCTCATAGTTTCACTTTAGTTAACTTTATACATTGCATTCATAAAGAAAGATTTTCGAAATTACAATAAGAAGTTAGGATATGTTTATTGTCTGAAAATGCTGGCAAGGATTGAATAAAAAAAATCCTTTTTTTCAAACAATAATAATCTAGGAAATAAAACAAGACTTTTATGTGTAAATTTGTAGTAAAAACCCTACTCCACAGACTGCTTGTATCTATCCAGGTATAATTCAGTTTCACTTAGCTATCGATGTTGACCATGAATCAACGCTAAACCAATGGACGCGATCTCGCCAGCTTTAAACCGAACATCAGGACAGCCACAGCATAGGATATCAGGATTGCAAGATACTCAATCGCAAGGCTAATCAATATAAACTCCTTGATTAGGCTGAACTACCTTGAGACAAATCCTAATGGGTTGAGATTGTTTAACAACTCTCATCCCCGGAATTATACATCACTAAGCATGTGATCCATACTGAGCTGGGAACTTCAGAATGGGATACTTTTAATCACAACTACTTAATCTAAATATCCATTATGGAAATTTTAAATGCAGTCTTTTTCTCTCTTTTTGGATATATGTACATTGTTTTCTCCTATGAGAGTGCAGGAATATAGTTCGTAAATTGTAATAACCATGGATAAAGATAAATTGCGCATAAGACGACATTTTTCACCTTGAAAGATTTAAATGTACAGAGATGTTTTAAAGATATTCCTATTATTTAGATTAACTAGGTCGGTTGTGAACATTGGCTGTTCTTATGTCATTGAGTACTTGTGGTGTACATGAGTTCTGTAGAGAGAAATTTAAGACAGTTTAGTCCTTCTCATGTCCTTCTTCAGTTCTCGTCAATATGATAAATTGCTCAGTGAAATATTGTTGTTCAAATATTTCCATTCCTGGAGTTATTTTACGCTCTATTATGAAATCCATTAAAACACCAAACCACCCCGCTTATCATTGAAGTACACTTTGACCTCTAGAAGTATGAGTTTGTGGACTGTACAATTCTTGGTGATTTTGCGTACATAAGCTATCTATGTTTTTTTATTTATCTATGGTAATGATCAATGACAGCTTTGAAAATAAATTCCATCCTATGAGAGATATCCGCAATTTCTAAGGAATAAAGAATTTGTTGTTGGCCATTTTGTAAATTAATCGGTGAAGAAAATATTTGATAATATGTTTGAGATTCTTTTTTAACTCAGATAAAGCCACAATTAAAAGTTGAAAGAGAAGATGGACACAAAATGCCATAAAAGCCTAGTAATCTGTATCTGGAATATGGTTTTTTATTGCTTTTCATCTTGTTCATGCATCATTTATTAACAACCCTTTTATCAGTGCTTCAGCAAAAGTTTGAATTTGTACATTTGTTGCATTATCGTCTGTTTTCCTTCTCTTTTATTGCTCACACAAGGAAATTGTTCATTCAGTAAAAGGTTGATGCCATGTTCTTTGATAAAAAAGGCCAAAGCCAGTTATTTTTACTTAATGTTTCAAGAATATTCAAAAGATAATTAAAAACCTGTACCTTAACTTAATTCTATAATTTCCTCTAAAAGAAGTCATTCTGTTCCTGATATATTTACTGATAACAATCAAACTTTTGTAGGATCTAATGAAATAGCAGAAGGTTTTAATGAATTTTTTGTCAACGTGGGACATATGCTGTCTAGACATTCCGGAATCTGACTTCACTTTTGAAACATATTTAAATGAGTCCATGAATGAGAATTTTGTTTTTGCAAATATTACACCTGATATTATTTTTGAAACGGTAAATAAGCTGAAACCCAAGAACAGCTCAGGAAAAGGCAATATTTTTACCAAAATACTAAATAGAATTGATAGCTCAATCTTTGTTTTGTCTCAAACTAAGAATATCTTACCATTAAACATTCGTCCATATGTTTATAACTCTCTTCTAAGGCTTCATATTGAATATGGAATTGCTACTTGGGGAGGGGTTAAAAACTGTAAACTGCAAAATCAGATCTTTGCAAAAAAGGCAATAAGAGCGGGTGGTTAATCATAGTACTTTCAAGGCACATTCAAATCCATTATTTTCAAAACTGAAAGTTCTAAATGATGGATAATATTTTTGGTGATCTTCCATTTTGATTCATTTACTTAGATGATACTCTCATCTATTCTCCTGATTTGGTTTCTCATCAAGATCATCTTCAGCAAGTCCTTCAGCTCTGCAGAGAACATGGACTAACCATCAACCTGGACAAGTGTGTTTTTGCTGTCAACCAGGTAGAGTTTCTCAGCTGTCATGTGTCTGCCTCTGGCTCCGCCCCTCTCCAGAAGCTCTGCTCTGCCATCTTTCATTTCCCTTGTCCAGTTGATCGACCTCTCTCTCCAACAATTCCTAGGACTGATCAAGTTCTACAGGAAGTTTATCCATAAGGCTGCAAAGATTCTTCACCCTCTGACCTCAGCTTTGAACAATGATATATACTTTTTAGAAAAATCTCAGCGGGAGTGGTTGAATGAGCAGTTGCTTAAAAAACTTTAAACAAGCGGTTAAAAGCAAATTAATTATTTCAAATCTTAAACCCAGCAGTATTTTAAGAAGAACTTTGTTCCATTGATTGAAAGCAAAATTTGTTGAAATATCTGAAACCTAGCAGTTGAAAACAAAAAACTGTATTATCTTAGTGGTTGAACTAATTAAAAAGTTTTAAAAAGTGGATAAAAATTGAAACAAAAAATGTACGAATTTGGTTGAACAAAGCTCAAATATGTGAAAAAAGTTGCATTTCTTATTCAAGACTGCATAGAGTTTCGCTTGATCTCAACCGCTCATTCAACTGTTAATACTGAGTTTTTTCTCCACAAAGTATATATCATTCAGCTTTGAAAGGGACTCTGTCATGGAGCAGTCCTTCTCCCATGCCAAACCTGCTCTCTTCGTGTTCTCAGGTTGGTTCATCCTGTTCCCTCAGTTCCTATCTCCCTAGTCATTGATGCCGCAGAGTCCCACGTTGGTGCAGTCCTCAAGCAAAGAATTGTCTTCGTCCTGGGCCCCACTAGCATTCTTCAGCAAGAAACTCTCCATCCTGGAGACACACTACTCCGCATTTGACCATGAGCTGCTAGCTGCCTACTCTGCCATCCCATCCTGTTGGTATTCATGTGGTTGTAGTTCCTGGTTCCTGCTCTGAAGGTTCAGTTTTTCCGGTTCTCTCTGTCAACTCTGGAACTCATGCTCAGGGTTTAATTTCTCCAGCTCACTCCTCCGATGTTTCTTTGACCTCAGCTCAGTTAATAGATTATTCCCATGTTGCTCAGCTTCAAACAATGATCAGAAACTTAGGATCTAATTTCAAGCTCTTTGCTCAGCATGCAAATAGTTCCTTTGTCTGGAGTATTAGTTCTTTATGACCTCTCTACAGGTTTTCCAAGACCTCTAGCTCCTGGTTCTCTCTGGAAATCCTTGTTTCTCCAACTCATGGTTTGTCTCACCCTGGAGTCTGAGCTTCTTGCAGGTTAATCTCTCAACATTTTTGTTGGAAAAAATTTGTCCAAAGATGTTGGCCTTTTGGCTCATTCCTGCATTACTTGCCATAAAAGCAAGATCCAGACCCACATCCGTTCCAGTGTTCCACAAATCCCTGTCCCCAGTAGAAGGTTCAGAAATCTTCATGTTGATCTTGCTCAGGCTCTGCTTTCAGGATGGGTTTCCAGGTTTGGAGTTCCATCAGTTCTTACTTACAATCCTGGAACACAGTTCACCTCCTCCTCGTGGAAAGAATTGTGCCATCTTCTTGGACTCTTTCATACAAAGACAACCTTGTTCCATCCTCAGGTAGTGGTATGGTTGAAAGGTTTTACCGTTCCTTAAAGAGTTCTCTCCATTCCAAGCTAGCAGGTTCAGTTTGGATCCATCATCTTCCTGCTGGTTCTCTTGGGTTTGCTTTGTGCTCTGACGAATGATCAAGTTTGTTCCACTGCAGGAGCTGTTTATGGTTCCCCTTTGGTGCTCCCTGGAATGTTCCTAGATGCTCTGGAGTTGGAGATATTCTCTGATCTGTTCCATCGAGCAGAGTTTCTCATCCCCTCCTAATCACCTTGTTCGTGCAACACTCCTGCTATCCCTGCATCCCCAAAAATTGCAACCCATGTGTTTGTTTGTGAGGATTCAAAGACTCCTCCTCTCCAACCTTTGTATAGAGGTCCGTACCCAGTTCTACAAAAAAGATGACAAATATTTTACTCTGCAGCGGATAAGGTTTCAATAGACAGTCTCAAACCAGTAATCTATACTGAAGTTATAGTCCCTCAAGTTCCTTCAACCAGAGGACATCCACAACAAGCTCCTCTGGATTGTTCTCTGCCCAATGCACCTCTGCCTCGGGTTAAGTTCAGTTCTCCTTCTCGCCCTCTCTTCTAAGTTCTCCAGTTCTTCGAAGAAATCCTCCTAGAGCGACCAGACAACCACCTACAGGCACAGCTTTATCTCCTTGGCGACCTCATAGATGATGCAGGGGGGGACCTCTGTGGCGGAGCCTAATACACTCTTCATATTTTCTAACCCGGCTCTAACATAGTTATATTATGTGAGACCATTTTCAATCACAGTCTTTGTTCCATATTTCTTTAAACATTTGATCCATGTCTCGCCTTAATTTTATCATTTTTTAAAACTTTTTTTTACAAACATTTTTACTTTTTAAAAGGATTTTGCTAAAAAAATAAGTTTTGCAAATTTGCAATATTTTTGTAGATTTCAAAAGTAGAGCATAAGAGCTTTCCAATGATGCATTATTTGTCAAATAGACCCAGAAGTGCAAGCCTGCCAGGTAAAATCAATGAATTTATTTGCATATAAAACACATAAAAACATACAAAAAACTTTTATTTTTGATTATGAAAATTTTTAAGTTCTAGCTGAAGATGACATCTATTTTTTCTAGTCTTTACGTTCCAAAAGAAATCTTTTCGTGCAATTATTTTCAAACCAAATAAAACTGTATGGCCCAACCTGTCATCGTTGCCTTAGTCTGGTCCACTTTAGTATTTATTCACTTTGTTTTCAAGTAACCCAGTGGGGAAAGGGTTGATATTTGTCAACAATAAAAAATTTAAATTTTTCAACATTTTACCCGCGTACTTTTTAAAAAAACCTTTCTAGCGTTCTAACCATTAAAGTTAGAGGTAGAATTTTTTTTCATGAGCCTCTGTTCAAAAGTGACTGCAAACTGCAGAAACAATGAAGGAATAATCAAAATTAAACAAATTTAAAGCTTCAAAAAAACAAAAAGTTGTTTGCATTGGTCAGATAATTGTGTTTGGGGTACCATTATAAATTTAACATGTTTGCATTGGTCAGATAATTGTGTTTGGGGTACCATTGCAAATATAACATTTAATGTTCATGGTTGCCATTGTCTTACAATGATATTTTCACTGTGTCGATTTAAGAAAAAAGGTTAACACTTCCATCAATTTTGTTAGTGGTGATATTGCAATATCACTAAAAGTTAAGTTGTTAATATCTAAAACTAAAAAATATTTTTCATTAGAAATTAAAGCAGTTCACTCTATTCTCCTGTAAATTGAAAAATAAGATCAAGCTGTATATTTCACTTTTTATCTTTTTCATTTTTTCGTTTCTTTTTATTTATTTGTCGCTATATCCTTTCTTTTCTTCTTCTTTGTCTGCACTATACCCTTTCGGTTCTTCTTTGTCTGCACTATACCCTTTCGGTTCTTCTTTTTTTGTTGTTGTCTCTGCTGCAGTTGTTGTTGTTGAAGCTGTTGTTGTTGTTGTTGCAGCTGTTGTTGTTGTTTCATCAGCCTTTCCAGAATCATCAGCTTTCTTCAGCATAACTGAATCTTGCCTGCTCAAACAAGTCTCATAACATTGAGATGCAATAAAACAAACAAAAATAATTAATTTACAGAATCTAAAGATTTAGCCCTCGAATTTGTGATATGTGAAAGTGTAAAAATTGCGGATTGAATTTTAATTTCAACAACTTCAAATCAAAATCGGGCTAAAAAATCTTATTCTATAAGTTATGTTATGAAAAACGCTCCTGTCTTTAGTTTCCTCTCTGGTGTTGTTGGTCATTCCATAGATAATGGTGTTGTCATATTTTAAACCTTCTCCGTCGATTTCTTCTTGAAGCTTCTTTACCTCCTCGTGCCAGGTCTTATCCTTGAACATAGAAACATAGATAACAAGAACAATACAAACTGTTTCCTCTGTTTTTTGAAACTTGAAAATATTGCTCATTAATTTGGCGATAATGAGCAAAACTTGGACAAGCTATGTGCAAAATTGCGTGAAACTACATGCGGTGGAACCACTTGTGTTAAAGGATGTTTATTAAAGCATACTGAAGTAATCCATTATTGAGAGATTTGCAGTAAAGAAATTGAGAATTTGCTCCAAACTTTGAATTTCTAATTACAAAATCCAAACTAGACTTAGGATTTCTAATTACTAGATCCAAACTAGACTTTGGATATTTCAATTGATAAATTATATTGGATCAAATAATGTAAGTTAATATTTTTTTAGTTTTTGCTTCCTTTTGAGAGTTGAAGGAATGCGTCAAACAATCTGTTTCAGAAAGAAATTTTTTGAGAGAACTCAGATAAACAGATGTCAGCTGTCCGTAGATGGTACACATGTGCCGAGACCTGAGAAAGCTGGAAATGCGGGAAACAGATGTCAGCTGTCCGTAGATGGTACACATGTGCCGAGACCTGAGAAAGCAGGAAAAGCGGGAAAGAAGGAACATACATGCAGCCATTAAAACATTCTTCACCTGATTATCACCTCCTGGTCCGGAGAATTTTCTCACATAGTATTCTCCTTTTCCGCAGGATTTCAGAAACACGTCAGGGGTTTTAGAGTACCCTTTTCCTGGCAGGGGCTCAGGGGGGGTTGTCTAAAATCATAATCATGACTGTTTTAGTAATTATTTGCATTTCTATTTTTGCATTATTATAATTTTGTATTCTTTTTAGAGCTACATATTTTCATGAATTATCATCATTTTGTGTATTCTTGTTTTTATTAATATCATTATTATTATTATCATTATTATTATTACCGTCTCTGTGATGTTGTGACACATAGTAAGAGTATACTCTGGGGTGGTATTAGTCATAAAGAAAAATAATGGAAATTTGCATTCCATTTTCTTTTCTAAAAAAATATTAATTATGAAAGAAGTTTTTGTCTCAAACTCTAATTTTCTAATCCCAAATCTTTGCAGCCCGATGTTGAAGACCTTTAATATTGGAAATTATATGAATTCTGCATGTATGATAGATGTAATTAATAGTCTAAGTTTGAAATATCAAAGGTCTACACCATGATATGTTGAAGCTGAGGAAAAGTATTTAATAGCTTAACTATAACAAAATGTATACCATATCGAGTTGTCAAAAATACAAATGCAGAGAAAATGTTTCATTTGTTGTACTGTTTTGCCGTTTAAAGTCTGTATCATTATTGCAACTTGACCGAGCTGTTTAATAGTCAGAATGGTCCCAAAAAACATGGGAATTCAGTGACGAATTCGATATCGTCTTTTCAAATAATTCTTTGATTTAGTATAGTGATACCTACTGCAGAAAGCTGAAATCTGTAAGAGTTCGTCTGCTATGTTTACATTTTGTTTGTTTATGTTTTGACTGCATACAGTTGTACTTAGTAAAACAAGAAAATTGCAGTATACAAACTGAGTAAACTTGTCCGTCTTCATTGTTCATCTTGTGGAGACATTATAGACACATCTTTACAGTCTTTTACCCTTTTCATAAAATAAACTCTAGCAGACATAATAATATTATGGCTTTTGAAATTAGGTATTACAATGTTTATTCATAGCAAAGACGATATACAATTCGTTACTGAATTCCCATGTTTTTTTGGGACACCCTGTATTTCAAATAAACCGGAGTTCATATTGTAATGAAACAAATCAACAAATTAATAGCCAAGGAGGGAAATGGAATATAGTGATTATTTATCTTATAATTGTTATTTTTATTGCTTTTTATTTAATGGATTTATTAACTATAACAAAAAACTTACTTTCTGAATTTTCTCCCTCTAGATATTTTTCAATTTTTGCCTTGGTTTCCTTAGATAACTTTTGAATTTCTTCTGTAGTACTCTAAACATTATATCATTTCTTCTGTAGTACTCAAAACATTATATCATTTCTTCTGTAGTACTCTAAACATTATATCCTTTATTCTGTAGTACTCTAAACATTATATTATTTCTTCTGTAGTACTCTAAACACTATGTAATTTCTTCTGTAGTACTCTAAACATTCACTATGTAATTTCTTCTGTAGTACTCTAAACATTATATCTTTTATTCTGTAGTACTCTAAACATTATATTATTTCTTCTGTAGTACTCTAAACATTATATCATTTCTTCTGTAGTACTCTAAACATTATATCATTTCTTCTGTAGTACTCTAAACACTATATAATTTCTTCTGTAGTACTCTAAACATTATATCTTTTATTCTGTAGTACTCTAAACATTATATTATTTCTTCTGTAGTACTCTAAATATTATATCATTTCTTCTGTAGTACTCTAAACATCCTATTATTTCTTCCGTAGTACTCTAGAAGGGAGTACTCTAGGAGGGAGGAGGTTGATATTTTGGACCACTTACCATAAACTACAGATTTTGAATATTTAACAAGATTTAAATTGCCATCTTTTGATACTTTTTATCGATTATGTTTTTGATTGGATTTACTTTGTTTAATTTTGTTCACAAATATTCCTTTAATATTTTTTATTTTAAGTAACCCCTGATTTAAAGTTTCATACCAGATTCACAGCAGGAGACTTGAAACCCACTTGTTAACAAAACAGTAAAGATATTCTTTTATCTTTTTTAGATACAAATTCGACTACATATATCCTTAAAAGGTTTATAAAGGTAAACAAAATGGAACCTACTTTTTCTGTAGCATTAAAGCTTGCACAGGCCATCTTGTGTTCACTATTGATCTCCAATACTTCATAGCCCTGGACAAAATGTTTTATTTGGAGTCTTTGGAGTCTGGAAGGAAATCATTATCATTGGAGTATACTATCGGAGACCCAAGAGTCAAGACTTCATAACTTCAAGATTTTTCATCGGAGACTCCCAACAAGAATCCCAACAAGAATCCCAACAAGAATCCCAACAAGAATCCCAACAAGAATCCCAACAAGAATCCCAACTAGAATCCCAACAAGAATCCCAACAAGAATCCCAACAAGAATCCCAAAAAGAATCCCAACAAGAATCCCAACAAGAATCCCAACAAGAATCCCAACAAGAATCCCAAAAAGAATAAAGACCTTCAGTGGGTAAAAAAATAAAGTTTAAAAAATTAGCAGGCATTTAAGAATTGTACCAGTCAGCCAGTTAAAAAATAGCTATCAAAGAACTGTGAGTTGTGATACATTAGAAAAGTAAGAATATATATATTAGATGATCTTTGCCTAACAATGACTTATCGAGTTTAGCAAATAAGCAGATTGGTCCCTGGGAAGACATAATTTTCATTTCATAATTCCAATTATAAAGTGGAATGTCCATTTTACGATTTAAAACGGTATCATTTTTAGTGTGATCAAGAATAAATGAGATATTTAAGTTTTTCTGTTTAAAAAATGATTATTTTCAATTGTTGTTTATACCTCTACATCAGTGAATTTCGGATTTCCGCTTCAAAAAAACAATGCAGGAAATTGCTAGAAAATGACAAAATATGCCCGTTAATGATCGGATATAGGCGTCAAAATGTCCGTTTAAATCAAGAATGGCACTTTTTAAATTGAGGGTGATGTAAAATTACAAGTACAGTCCCTTTAAACATCACCTTGCACCGCTGCAACAGCAAAGATGAGAATGACACAGTGTACAGAGTGCATCTTGAATACTGGATACAGAGGGAAGTTTGTCAAGGATTTTATTATCAAATTAATCAAGTATTATTCAGGGATTCTAGTGAAATCTGATCCAGGCTCAATTATAGCAGAAATAAATCCTTCTAGATTCACAAAATCATAAGAAAAAAAATATTTTATGTGGGCCTAATTTTGTGGGCTAGAAAAAATATTTCTAGAATCGCAAAATTGGAAGAAAAAAATGATTTTTCCCGAGGTTATATTGTATGAATCACAAAATCAGAGGAAAAAAGTATTTTTTACCCGGGCTTAATCAAAGGATAAAAATAAATCTAACTAGAATCATAAAATCAGAGGAAAAAAGTATTTTTTTACCCGGGCTTAATCAATACATTTTTCTAGAATCACAAAATCATAAGAAAATAAGTATTTTTTTAAAAACAGAATGGCAATATGTTTTTGATACTATGAAATTACATGTTATAGGGGTCACTTTTCTTCATAAACAAACGTTGGCTGATAACAAGATCCTTATCGAAACGAAAAACAATGCAGCAGGGTATAGAATTGAAAATAACCATGCACGGCCTATAAATCTTAATTGAAAAATAAAATCAGACAAAACTTTGTCTTTAAGTTTAATAAACTCTAAGTAATTGAGGCTATCTGTAGTTTATCATGATGTAAATTTCCTCTCATTATTTCTAATTAGTGATAACCTGAACACAGTGAACTGATTGACCGCTCTCTGTTTTTATTTAAATTATAAAAGGTTGCAAAGTATTTTTTTTTATTTTCAACAAATTTATCAGTCTAATAGTTTCATGTGAATGTGAGAGAGAAACAATTCAACTAATTAAAAAACTTTTTAAAGTCGGTTTTTCCCATTGGGGGGGGGGGGGGTTGTACAACTAATGCAACGCAGCTTTGTAATAATGTAAGTACAAAAAGAATACTTATAAACATCAATGTAAACCAGTTTATGCAGTGCAGACATGTTTTTGAATATTTATGTACTAATTGTGTATTCGGGTTGTAACGATACTATATATACTAATGCGACCATTTTTTTTTCTCTTCAAAATTGATATAGCAATTTGTTTGCCTTCTTCTGTAAATATTCAACCCAGTGTTTTGTAAATAAACACACTACCGATCTATTACATGTCACGAGCATTGTTCATCATGAAGACACAAATACTAGAGCCCTGCATATTTGTTAAGGGACGAAAAGCAAATATACTTCAGGATGCCGATTATTTTAATATAATAGAAACATTGCAAATGGCTCTATTGGAAATGTACTAAGAGGCCTAGCTACTCCGGACAGGCCTAACTGATGGGGATTGGATTGTTTCACGAAATGCTTATTCTCATCCTGCTGATATCACTCTAGTATCCCTACTCCATTAGCGCCTGATCCAATCAGAGTTCAGCCATTTGTTTGTTGTCTATTCGGAACCAATGGAAATAGCTCATTATCCAATTAGAGATAAATCCTTACATCGGCGCTATAACATTAAATGGAAATATTTACTTGAACTGAAACTTTAGTGATATAAGTTCTGTCAGAGCCCAAAACTTTGAAAAAAGCCTTATCCAGCAATTTTCTCGGGTTTTGCCTCATAGAGAAGTTGAAGCGTTGAAGTGTTGAAAATGTGGGAGTTGTTAATAAAATAAGATTCTTTATGCCTGATCAGACTTCCGGAAATTTATGAAAATTGCACTCGATATTATGGACTTAACAAATTTGATTCAACCCTAGTCCTGGTGCTTCCAGACAATTTAGGTTGCAGCCTTAACTGTTAAAATCAAGCGGCACATTTTCTAGAATTAGACGAGATAATACTCACCCAATTTGTTTTGCTTTTCTAAATAAGATTTTACGGTAACCTTGACTTATAACTTAGCTGTAACAACATAAAGTCTACAATTGAATCTACTTAACAATGATCATGATAAACTAAACATCGAACCGAAAAAAGTCTAGGCTCAACCTTACTGTTATTCAATCTTTTAATTTGTTTGTTAAAGTTTTTTTTTCAGCACTATTTTACTCAAAAAATTTATCTGGAAGAGTACATGATTCAAAACTTTAAAGATACTTCGTAGGTATTCTATAAAACTAATTTTTCGCGGATTTTTCTGATTAAATTCAAGGATTTTCATAAAAAGTGGCAGTTGACAGTTTTACTGAGCACAATTTTTTATTCCTGTTATAGTTGCTACAACAAATGAATTGAGTCTTTGTCACAAACTATGATGTTCTAATCTCTATATCTTTGTAACCCAATGCCGTAGACCTTAAATATTTCAAGCTATGAATTCTGTTAGATGAAAAAATCTAAGTTTGAAATATCAAAGGTTTACACTATCAGGTGGAAAAAATATAGGTATTAGAAAATCAGAGTTTGTTACAAAGACTCAATTCCTTTGGCCTGCTATACCATACAAACAAGCAAAATATTGATATAAGAATCTTGTAGACATTCTTCGAGTTTTCTTTATTATCCACTGGTATAACAAATGCAAGCATATTCTTTCATTTAAATCGTACAGGGTTTCCCACAAACAATAAAACTTCATAGAAGATTAGTTCACATTCTCATAAAAGTATGGAACGGTTTTATTCTAAGGAATTTGGGTCATTAGACAGATTGTGAAGGATCTATTAAATTTGATCGTCTATAATTTGTCATGTGTACTGGGAAACACTGTGTTATTTGTATACAATTGAAATTTTAAAAACCCTGTTCATGTGACTCTGCATGTACGATTTACAACGGTATCCTTAAAGATTTGTCTGAGCAAGAATGAAATGGACATGTTTCTTATTATTTATACTTACTAACTAATTTTTTTCTGGAAAACTTGTGCATTTCTTTCTTTAGAACAATGGAGAAATTATGAGAATTAGTACAAATAAACAAAAAAAAAGTTAAAATGAACAAAAAAATTAAATGCAAATGAACTTTAATCTTTTTAGACTGTCTTGGCCACAGCGCTCGGCCCAGAATTTTTGTTATTTTTAACTATTTTTTGTTCATGCGCTGTTTCATTTGAACTATTTTATCTTCACTTGAACTATTTCATGTTCATAAGAACAATTCTTTTGTTATTTTGAAATTTTTATATTCATTTGAACTAGTTTTAATGTTCATTTGACCTATTTTAAATGTTCATTTGAGAAATTTCTTTGTTTGTTTAAACTATACCTTTAATTGTTTGACCTTCATGAAATCCCTAAATTTTAAAAATTACTGTATGTTAATAAAAAGAGTTTAAATGAGAAAGTAACATTTTGATTTGAACTATAGCAGGATATGACGTCATTTGAGTAGATCAAATGAACAATAGTTCAAACGACCAATATTTGACACGAACAATAGTTAAAACGAACAATAGTTCAAACGAACAATAGTTCCAACGAACAATAGTTCCAACGAACAATAGTTCAAACGAACAATAGTCCATACGAAAAATAGTTCAAACGGCGGTAGTTTAAACAGGTATTCACCTGGCTGAACATCTGGAAAGGAATTGAGTCTTTGTAACAAACTCTGATTTTCCAATACACATATTTTTTCCACCTGATAGTGTAAACCTTTGATATTTCAAACTTAGATTCAATTATCTAACAGAATTCATAGTTTGAAATATCTAAGGTCTACGGCATTGGATTACAAAGATATAGAGATTAGAAAATCATAGTTTGTGACTCAATTCCTTTATATAATGTGCTCTTCCTGAATCTTTAACTTTGAATTGGTGGTTTATATTTAATCGGCAGTAGGTGGTTCAGTGACCCTGCTCAAATTGATCAAATCCAGTCCCAGATTTTTTAGTAACCCTTGTTTTTTGTATGTTTATTTTCTAGCAAGCATTAAATATTAATCTTAATCTTGCCGACAACAAAAATTTCGCCGTTTTTTGTGATGATAAGAATCTTTTTTTATACATAAGTAAATGATTCTTAAAATTACATGATGTTTACATAAAATATACGATATATTTTATTTTTAGAATACTGACATTTTATTATTTCAATATTCCAAACATTTTATATTCATTCCTCCTCTGGGTTATGTTTCCTGTAAAAAATATATCATATAAAAGTAATAAAACAATAATAATAAGGTAGAACATATATCTATCATATAAAAGTTATAAAACAATAATAATAAGGTAGAACATATATCTATCATATAAAAGTTATAAAACAATAATAATAAGGTAGAACATGTCAAATCTTTTTTGCACCAGCAAACAAAGAATATAGCAACAAATTAAAAGCAACATTATAAAAGAAAAGAAGACTTATTCAGTAATTAATCACTTAAAAACGAGAATTATAAGTAGCGTGGTTTTTTTCAATTTTTGTTGATCTAGTTTTTAAACTGCCATTTATTCTTTTCCGATATTTCAAAAAATGTTTTTTTAACAAGTTTATTTGATTTGCTTAATCATTTAAGGGATTTTTACGAATTAACGTTTAACTCAGTGTTTCAAGATGGATATTTAGATATAATGATCTTAATTTTTTTTTTGACTTACTTTAGTGATTTGATTTTTTTTTTAAATCTGAATGATTTTGAAATTATGAAAAATCTTAAATCTTTTTAAAAATGTATTAAAGAAAACTTAAAAACTTCTGCAAGGTGGATTTGAGCATTTTAATAAAAAACACCATAGTTTCACCCTTTATAATAACTAGAACACTGTTGGATGATTGGCGTCTTCATTCTTTAATTCAATTTAGAAATGTCAGATTTTTCAATTTAGAAATGTTAAGAAGCCAAAAGTTGTGTGATGCAAATCCCGGGATCTTTAATTCTTCTTCGATGTATCGTTCATGCATAGTCAAATGCAGGATTTTAAGATAAATTCAATTGTAAAAAAAAAACTAATCATTCAGAGTTCTGCCACGTAGACATTTGGTAAAAATTTACGAAGACAACGACAACAAATTATTTGGTGTAAAATGACTTTAGCTAAGTTTTTTTCAAAGCCGCAAATAAGTCCAATTTTTGTCTTTATTAACTTTTTTTGCCTGATCCATGAAGCAAGCCAGAGTTGAGGGTGCTCTGGTTTAGCCCTGTACATGCTGCTCACTCCATCCTTAAAGAGATTGTAGGCGTTATTTTAAATTTTTCTCCATTTGTAGAGTTTCGTGTTCGATTCGCTGAAAATATATATTACTTTCATATAAAAATTCCTATTAAATTCATAAAACATTCCTATTAAATTCATATTACATTCATATTACATTTAAATTTGTTAAAAGTCATCTGGACATAGAATATTTAGTATTTTCGAGGTATGTAACGTAAGTTATGTAGATTGCTAACGCAAACTCCCGTTTCGCGGCAATTTTTGATAAATAAATACAGCATCTGCCTCAATAAACAGTCAAGGGTTTAACAGGTACATTGTCATCTTTGCCTGCTGGGCCACTTGAAATTACGCTAATGCACTTTTCAATTGAAAAATTATTTCTGTGCTTTGAACGGTATTTTTCTAAGTACAAAAATCTAGTATTTTGAATATTTATTTGAATGCAAAAGTAATTTGGCTAATTTTGTGCTTCATCTAATTGAGTTTTAAAACGTGATAAGCAAAATCATTAAAAAAATATTGTTTCATAAAACATAATTTTGTCAATTATGGAGGTTAATCTTAAAATTATTCTAATTGATTTATTGATTAAAAGCCTTTAATACTTATAATAAGATGTATTAACAAAGTATAATATTTCACCAACTAATTTTATATTTTGATTTTTTTATTTATTTAAAGAGAGTGTTCGCGAAAACCAGACTTAATTAGGCATCAATCTTTTTTAATCTTTAATGATTGAGAATGAGAATTGTAATCGACGACCGTTTTAAAAATGTTCTCATTCTCAAACATCAGAGGGAAAAAGATTGATTATATTCGATTCCCAATTTGATCTAACCCCCTTTTCATTTATCGCGAACACTCCTTTCCAGGGCATTTGCCCTTTGCAGTTATTCACTTCAGGTTCCGATTTCCCAACTGAACAAAATTCAGATTTTTGTGTCGTGGATCTTAAGATCAACATTAATATTCATCTTATGCAGATCTGTGGATTATTTCGTTGATATCCTGTGAAAGGCTTGTACTCTGCAGGGATAACTGTCATTGAGAGATCACATATTTGATCCTTAAGTTTAGAAATGTTCAAGTGTTAAAGATTAAGAATTTATTTATGCAAAAGTTTCGACATTAGATTATTTTCCTTCCTCACCCCATGGATTTAGTTTTCAATTCCCAGTTCATTGAACGGACCATGGTTATGATGAGCCTGGACAAAATAGTGGGTTTCCAACCTTAGACCAATTTATTGTCCCAGCTTACCACTTAATTGTTCCGGCTAACCACTTTATTGTCCCGGCTAACCACTTTATTGTCCCGGCTCACCACTTTATTGTCCCAGCTAACCACTTTATTGTCCCAGCTAACCACTTAATTGTTCCGGCTGACCACTTTATTGACCCGGTTAATCGTTTTATTGTCCCAGTTAATTGTCCCGGCTAACCACTTTATTGCCCTGTCTAACCACTTCATTGTCCCAGCCGAGAGAAGGGTATTTTCTTCTTGTAATTTGGAGATTGTGTTAGAGTTTTATATTTATTTCAATATCAAGTAAACCCCCCCCCCCTTAATCTTAATATATCCCCCTATCCCGATTGGGCTATTTTTGTCTAATATAGATTGGGGGGTCGGGGGGGGGGAGGATGTTTTCCACCCCCCCCTATGATCTTAAGGGTTGAGATATGGGAGTGTGCAATACATGTCCCTAGTCCAACTTTTCAAGGCATGCTCATTAAACATTGACCTCTAACTTTAATGGTAAGTAGTGTTGGTAATCTAAAAATATCCCGCCTCAATCTAAAAATATCCCGCTTCAATCTAAAAATATCCCGCCTCAATCTAAAAAATATCCCGCCTCAATCTAAAATATATCCCGCCTCAATCTAAAAATATCCCGCCTCAATCTAAAAATATCCCGCCTCAATCTAAAAATATCCCGCCTCAATTTAAAAATATCCCGCCTCAATCTAAAAATATCCCGCCTCAATTTAAAAATATCCCGCCTCATTCTAAAAATATCTCGACTCAATCTAAAAATATTCCACCTCAATCAAAAAATATCTCGACTCAATCTAAAAATATCCCGCCTCAATCTAAAAATATCCCGCCTCAATCTAAAAATATCCCGCCTCAATCTAAAAATATCCCGCCTCATTCTAAAAATATCTCGACTCAATCTAAAAATATTCCCGCCTCAATCTAAAAATATCCCGCCTCAATCTAAAAATATCCCGTCTTAATCTAAAAATATCCCGTCTTAATCTAAAAATATCCCGCCTCAATTTAAAAAAAAACCCCACATAAAAAATATAATCTACCTGCAGAGTAGGAAAGACCCATCGCAGAAGGTAAGCCCTAGTAAGAAGAAATAGTTGTAAATGAATTTAATGAAATATTTTTTTTTTCAGTAATCGAGAAAATAATGAAGAAAAAGTCCAAGTAGTTAAATACTTATACAACGATTATTTTGATTTGCAAACGCAGCGCTATAAAGTTGTTTCTCTAGATTTTCTCTTGATGTAAAACGGTTATTTTTAGTTGAATTATTTATGCTTTTTAGTTCATAGTTGTGATAAAAAGATTCTTTATAGAGAGTAATTAAAAATGAAATATAAATTCAAATTTATTTTTTTTTAAATTAAAAAAGATTCAAGATGTTTTTTTTTTATTTTTGAGAAAATTTGGGAACCATTTAAACTTTACTTAACGTCTTCAGTTCAAGTGACTATGAGTATAATAAAGTACACAATAGGTTCATAAAAATATCTAATTCAATAATAGTTATTGGCTTGAAGTGGAATTTAGATGTATTACTTATTTTACTTTGTTTTGTAGTTTACAACTAATTATACTGTATTCAGTAAGTATATGTAACATATATATATATGTATGTTTAAAGATTGTATATTATTTCTTTTTACATTAAAGGGACTGTTAAGGTAAGTTAAAGGGGATATAGGCTTAAGCCTAAACATTTCAGCAGTTAACAGCGACCAATTATAGTTTTATTTGATTTTCCTGTCTCGAAAAATTGATATAAAACTGTCAAAATTATTGATATGCCGAAAATTTGGTATTTTGTTCGCTCAGCAAAATTCGAAACTTTTCTTTTTTCACAAAATTTTGCCATTATCTTTTTCGTGGAAAAAAATATAAAATTTGTCATCAAACATTTATTAAAGTAAAGGAAGATAACTTCTCAAAAGTTATAAAATAAAACTTCTAATTTCGCAGAGTAGTAAATTCCAACAGGTTTTTGCGCAATTAATTGTTGCAGCAACAACACCATAGTTTTAGCGGAATTTTTTTCGCGAACACTTTTCCGGAAAAATATTTTTTCGTATCGTTTTCGTATTTTTTCGCTTAATTCATTTTCACGAAATTTCGCGAAAAAGTTTCCGAAATAGAAACCCCAGTCATATCTCATAAACCCTTTGACCGATATGCCCCATTTTATTTAAGGAACTTGTGAGGAAGAACAGAAATGTTGGTTGGTTTTGAGTTGAGTGGGTTCACGTACTTGTATGTTGTATAGGGAAAAATAACTAAAATCATAAACGCTGTTTATCATTAAACACGTGTTTATCGTCTCTGATTTCTGGTCTTACAGTTCTAATATTACAAGCAATGAAAAATAAGAATACCTTTGCTCCCAAGTAACATCTTTTATCTCTAACTTTAGCCCGGCTGTAAAATCAATCTAAATTTATTCCAAAAAGTTAAATGTCCTATTTACAATGTTACCAAATTCAAATAATCTGTTTGAAAAACAGACAATTTCCTTCATTGTTACTGCAGCAGCATATTTACATAAAATCACGTGATCCAGAAATCACGTGAAAGTATCATTTATCGAAACGGATTATTTGATTATTTAAGAAATAGAAATGTTGAAGTTCTTGTACAAATTGTGCCACAGAAAAATCTCAAAGGAATTGACTCTTTGCAACAAACTCTGATTTTCTAATCCCTATATCTTTGGATTCCAGCGTCGTAAACCTTTGAAATTTCAAACTTTGACTCTTGTTAGATCAAAAAATATAATTTTGAAATATCAAAGGTTTATGACATTGGGTTCCAAAAATATTGGGATTAGAAAATCAGAGTTTGTGGCAAAAAGTCAATTCCTTTAAGAAAAATGTTTAAAATAGTTAATAAAGTTTAAAATTTTCACATTTTTTAGTTTATATTTGGTAATAATATTCGGATTTCTATTATTAAAATATAAAAATATAAAATGTAAATGCATATTGATATCTTTAAATCTTATCTTCCTTCACTTAAAAAATATCTCCAAGATGTAAATCTCAGCTACGTAACCTTTATACGTACTCAATAATTACTTCGGACACATGAACGAGGGGAGGAAGGCCAACCACATCAATCTCTAGTCCGAACCACATTCTCATCATTTTCTCGTTCAAACCACATCGAAATCCTCGTCCTTTTAATATTATTTTTTAAGTGTCCGATCCTTGAAAATAAATACATTTTTTAAAAATATGGCGACGTTAGGGCATAAAACATGACTAGAATAGAGTTTTCCAAGGATTTTGAGATGTTGGAATCTTCAAATCCACGAGAATGATGTCAAACATTATTTAGGTTAAAAATTGAATCTCCTCTGCCTCCAAAATGGATAACTTTCACAAATAAAAATTTATACCAAAGAATTCGCGTGAAGATGGTCTTTAATCTTTCATTGATTTCTGATTTATTTACAATTAAGGTAGATTTGTTGTCCCCACTAAGAGATCACTTACTGCCTGCCGCATGCTTAAAATTCTAGAAAAAATAATGTTCAATTTATATTATTCAAATCATTTGCTACAATTAATTGGTCACAACCCTATGAATTCAAACAGTATTTAATCATATAAAAATTGTAAGTCATATCTCTAACCCAAATTCAGCTGAAATATTACAAAAAGTTGTTTACATCGAGTTTGAGAATGTTTTGCGGCATTTTCCGTGAAAGAAATAGCCCTAGATACAGACGCTTTTTTGTAGAACATCGTTTATGGAGCATTTTCATTTTTACACAAATCTAAAATTTAATTGGGAAAATTTGATATTTCATCTATGCCCTAACGTCGCCATATTTTTTAAAAAATGTATTTATTTTCAAGGATCGGACACTTAAAAAAAATAATATTGAAAGGACGAGGATTTCGATGTGGTTCGGACGAGAAAATGATGAGAATGTGGTTCGGACTAGAGATTGATGTGGTTGGCCTTCCTCCCCTCCATGAACACAGTACGAACCAATCAATATAAGAAAAGGAAATAAATACATAATGTTTTTTTCAGTTTTGGGGAGAAATGTAAACAAAGCTTATCAAAAGGAGTTCCTGTTATATTCCTTGATTTAGCAAATATTGCCCAAAAAACACTTATTTAAGACTGATAATATCTAAAGTTAATTCCAAGTCTTCATTAAACTTGTCTGTCATTTTGTATGTTTTAAGATTAATCACTTCACTTGAGGTCAAGCTTTGTATTTTTTAAATCTGTTTAAAATCATGACGGGATGTACTTTTCTTCTTGGGGTTTAATCTATTATCTAAGTATTTAGACGAATCCATGGTGCGTATTCATTTATAATTTATCTCTTGGCGGATTTTCCTGGAATTTCACAATAATTCAAATTGTTTAAATTTGACCTTTAATATAATAGTTTAAATTTGACCTTTAATATAATAGTTTAAATTTGACCTTTAATATAATAGTTTAAATTTGACCTTTAATATAATAGTTTAAATTTCCCAACCTTCATATCAATAAAATAAATATATTTCAGTTTTTAACCTAACACTTGTTTAACAGCATTTTCACATTTAATGTTTTACATATTTTATTATCTTATTTATACTCTCATCGTATATTAGTTTTAAATGTTTATTTTTTTTGTGTGGCTGGTCTGAAAAAAACTTGTTTTTCAATATTTTAAAAACCACATGAAAATTTCCAAATTTTTTTACAGACGTGAACGAAATTGAAAATATTGCGGATATATCTACATCTAGAATTATCAACAGAAAGAGAGGAAGACGCAGTTTTAGTTTTGCAGATATAGAACTATTTCACTTTACCTGATCTCTATTTAGTAGATTTGGAAAGATAATGTTTATGTCTTTCTCAGCATCTGCCTCGCTAGAAGACCCATAAACATCCTCACTAGCATTTTTATTTAAAGTCAGAACCATAAAACTATGGAATAGAAAGACGACTTTTTGACTTTAATTATGATTTTAAATAGTCCATGAGTCAAAACAGTTGTACCGTGTGAACAGACCCATTTCAATTAATGAGAAATTTAATAAGTTAAAAGTAAAACCCCCCCTCTCTCTTCCTAATACTTTCCCCCTACTTATTGGACGAAACACCTCCAATTTTATGATTTTAAAATTATATCATACAATTACATCCGGGTTTGGCAAATCCCGTCATTAAAGTGTTAGTTTAAAGAATATATCTATGTAAAATTATGTACTTTAATGATAAATATATATCTATCTATCTATTTATCTGTAAACACCTTAAATACACTTGATTTATTGCTTTCATTTCGTCTTTATATTCCACAGTGTTTTAGTTCTCATTGTACATAAAGCAAGTTCCAATAAACATGCGAATCTGTTTTACAAAAGTACACAAATAACAGGCTACATTTTAAAATCATAAGATTTTCAAAGGAGGATTACTACAACTTCTGGTTCTAGAATTCCAAGTTATCATTTAAATTCTATGCTTAGTGCATGGGACATCAGGTTTAAAACCTCATTATTGGAAGAAGATAAAACACTTTGCTAGATAATCTTAGAACTCTCTTATTGGGACACCCTATAAAAAAACATTATTTTTTTGAACATATTTGTAAACTTGAACTCCTGGAAAAAGATAAATAAGGTTATACATAGATTTAGACCCCCACCCCACCTTTATAGGGTTAAATTTGTCTCAATGCCATATTAGACTTATGAGTCTTATTTTCTCGATTTATTAAAATCGTAAGCTCAGGAATAATATAATTTACCTCAGATTTTTTTTTGCTTGAAAGTATTTCCAATGCGGGATTATATCCTCCTCTCCGCCAACACACAGGCACATAACCTCTCCTCTTTATATAGGGTGAATATTAATATTTCCAATGCGGGATTATATCCTCCTCTCCTCCAACACACAGGCACATAACCTCTCCTCTTTGTATAGAGTGAATATTAATATTTCCAATGCGGGATTATATCCTCCTCTCCTCCAACACACAGGCACATAACCTCTCCTCTTTGTATAGAGTGAATATTAATATTTCCAATGCGGGATTATATCCTCCTCTCCTCCAACACACAGGCCCATAACCTCTCCTCTTTGTATAGAGTGAAACTATTAATAACAATTCTCAAATCCACCTTGCACCAGTTTTAAAGTTTTCTTTGGTAAATTTTTTTAATCAAGCGTTTTTTATATAATTTTCAAACTCATTCAGATTTTTTTTGTGTAAATCAGATCACTAAGTCACTAAGATCAGAAACGTTAAATTCGTAAATACAGAAAAACCAAGAAATTTACGGTATTCAGCGGTTCAAGAGACATCTTTTAATACCCATATCAACATGTTTTGAAGAAATAGAAAAATTTAACCTTCCTTTATGGACTACTCAAAAATAACAAATTGTACAAATTGCATTTTTTTACGACCAAGATGAACAGATTTGGTAATGTTTATTAAACGCTTCTGCTGGCTTTCTAATAAAACAAAATCGTTGTAGAATTTTGAAAATTATGATCTTTTTTTGGCTTAAAATTGGAAAAATAATTTTTATCTTTGCCTCTCATCCAAAATCCCATAAAGATATATGCTGATCAAAATTGTGAATTTGTTTGGCACGACTTTAAGATAATTTACAAATGTTTTGAAAGTGCTGTCACTAAAGCTGAAATGTGCTTTTAAAACATATTTCTTTATCTACAAACCAAGCCAATTTTTGCTTATATATTTCTTTTCTTGGATGTACATATTAGATTTAGTTCTCAATGTGAATCAACCAATATTTGGTCAAGGGAAAACATAAAATGATTTTTTGTACAATTTGATAAAGTTTTTTAAAATCGTTTATTACTGAATGAGATGCTTCTAATTTGCTACTAAATTCACATATTCAATGAAATAGTTTCTTCATTCAGTACAATATTAAAAATGAATAGAAAATGATAAAGAAAAAAAGAGAATAGAATAATTCACAATAGAAATGGATTAATATGAGAATATTAATAATACTCACGGTCATATGAAAATAGTCAAGATAGAAATTTTCAATAATAAGTCGAGAAGAGGAAAAAAAAGTTTATGTATTAAGGGATTGTAGATGCAATCTACATAGATCTTTCATTTATAAAGTGGTATATAGTATTTACCATGATAATTTTTTGTTGAAAATTAATTATTTCCATTTGCGGTTCCGTTTTAAAAGGGAATTGTGCATTTCTTCTTATTGCTCATATAAAGCTAAAATTATACTGTTGTGAATCAGACATGACCCACTTTAAATGGACGGGTAACTTAATATTGTACTACAGTTATTTAAGGTTTATTGAATAAGCTAAATGTTTAACAACTTTTGATCTACTTTCATCAAATTTGTTACCTAACATATTCTTTAATTTTTTCTTCATCTTCTTTGCCCTGCAAATTTTCTACATTAAAATGATTTAATTAACAAATTTAAAACTTGACATTGAATATTTTAATGATCAATTTCCTAACAAAGTAAACTGCAACGTTGATAAAAAAATGTCTTTGTCAATATTAATAAAACAAAAAGTAAAAAAAGTAAAAAAACGAGAGTTCCTAAGTTTTGCTGAAAATCAATTTATTATTCGAAAATGTTTAACAAATTAAGATTCTTAAATTAAGTTAAATTTGAAGTTGTTAATTCAAAAGTCTAGATTGTGTTTAATTTAAACAAAATCAAATATTTTGCAAGTTCTGAGAAAAGGAAAACAAAATACACTAATTTTAAAATTTTAATTCATTAACCCAATTTGACTTTTGTTGATAATTTTATGATTCGTGGTGATAGGGGAGTCAATTAAAATGTCACTTGTACAAATTTTCAAGACCACTTACTACGCATTTTTTTAAAATTTTAAAAAGGTACGGTACAAAGGAGTAAAAAATTGTTTACATGTTTAAAATTTAGATCTGCAGCTACCATTTTTTATTTCTATGCATTAAGGAAAATCAATCTCAATTCTGAAGAAAGTAAAATAAAATATGGTTGGAGCATTCTAGTCCAATCCGTTTAAATTAAAAAAAAAACCTGAATGGGGTGAATCCCCTCCCCCCCACAACACTAACTAGAACTAGAATAGGATGAAAGTTAAGAGTTCTGAATTGGTGATGCTTAATAAAGTAAACAATAACAATAGATTACCTGAAATATTTCTGTAGCCATTGACAGATTAAGTTTTAGTTTTTTCTTATCAATTAGTTGGAAACCTTCTTTACTTAGCAGATCTTCAATTTCTAGCCTCCTATAATATTAAAGGTTAAAGGGACTGTTTACATGATTCCTATCTACTATAATAATAAAGGATAAAGAGACTGTATACATGATCCCTTTCTTCTGTACTAATAAAGGTTAAAGGGACTGTATACATGATTCCTATCTGCTATAATAATAAAGGTTAAAGGGACTGTATACATGATTCCTATCTTCTATAATAATAAAGGTTAAAGGGACTGTATACATGATTCCTATCTACTATACTAATAAAGGTTAAAGGGACTTTATACGCGATTCCTATCTTCTATAGTAATAAAGGTTAAAGGGACTATATACATGATTCCTATCTACTATAATAATAAAGGTTAAAGGGACTGTATACATGATTCCTATCTGCTATAATATTAAAGGTTAAAGGGACTGTATACATGATTCCTATGTTCTATAATAATAAAGGTTAAAAGAACTGTATACATGATTCCTATCTACTATACTAATAAAGGTTAAAGGGACTGTATACATGATTCCTATCTTCTATACTAATAAAGGTTAAAGGGACTTTATACATGATTCCTATCATCTATAATATTAAAGGTTAAAGGGACTGTATACATGATTCCTATCTACTATACTAATAAAGGTTAAAGGGACTTTATACGCGATTCCTATCTTCTATAGTAATAAAGGTTAAAGGGACTATATACATGATTCCTATCTACTATAATAATAAAGGTTAAAGGGACTGTATACATGATTCCTATCTACTATAATAATAAAGGTTAAAGTGACTGTATACGTGGGTCCTATCTTCTAAAATAATAAAGGTTAAAGGGACTGTATACATGATTCCTATCTTCTATACTAATAAAGGTTAAAGGAACTGTATACATGATTCCTATCTACTATAATAATAAAGGTTAAAGGGACTTTATACATGATTCCTATCTGCTATACTAATAAAGGTTAAAGGTTAAAACGCAATTGAAAATAATTATTTGTCAAAAATTACGAACATTAATATTCACACTTGATCAGACAAAGCTTTAAAGGATATCATTGTGAATCGAGCTTTGCAATCTCTACATGGAGGGTCACTTGAATGACACTTACAGTCCCTTTAAAGTTCGATCTAGTAGGTTTGTGGTTCGTCACCTGTGAAATGCCTCAGGCTTGATGATAATTAAAATTCCTGAGACAATCGGCATCTTTCTGATTCTAAAAATTATTTCTCTGTTTTCCAAGGGGGGGGGGGGGCTCAATGTCATTTATTTAATGAGATAAATGTAAATTTACTCGCCATTTTTTCACAATCGATCAAGTTGTAACTTCTGTATCAATCGTCAGACACCTTTATACATATTATTTTTATATTCAATTTTTTTTTCAAGCTTCAAACCAACAATATTTGGCATGTGACGAAATTTGAATATGTCGATGCCATTAGTTAAACTGATGAATGTTGTTGATAATGAGTGGTTGACATTCAGCTAATCTTATTTCTAATCTTGAATCGGTGGCTTGTGCCATCATGCGGTAAAATATTCAGACCCCGTGGAAATAGGGTGGGTCAAATTTGCAATTATTTAAAGTATTGATATTTCAAATGCCAAAACTCATGTTTTAGTAACGTAAATGTAAGAAGAAGAATTCAATAAATTCCGTACAGTCGTCTCTAGAGTCTCTAAACCCTGTATATAAATATATATATGTGCATTTCATATATATGCATTTTTTATTTATGCATGGTATTTACACCTGCCAATTCAGAACCTTGCAACGTGAATGTAATTATATATATCATATATTCAATCATATATTCATGTGAATTTAATTATATATATCATATATTCAATCATATATTCAATCATATATTCATGTGAATTTAATTATATATATCATATATTTAATCATATATTCAAGTGAATGTAATTATATTTATCATATATTCAATCATATATTCAAGTGAATTTAATTATATATATCATATATTCAACCATATATTAAAGTGAATTTAATTATATATATCATATATTCAATCATATATTCAAGTGAATGTAATAATATATATCATATATTCAATCATATATTCAAGTGAATGTAATTATATTTATCATATATTCAATCATATATTCAAGTGAATTTCATTATACATATAATATATTCAGTCATATATTCAAGTGAATTTAATTATATATATCATATATTCAATCATATATTAAAGTGAATGTAATTATATATATCATATATTCAATCATATATTCAAGTGAATTTAATTATATATATCATATATTCAATCATATATTAAAGTGAATGTAATTATATATGTCATATATTCAATCATATATTCATGTGAATTTATTTATATATATCATGTATTCAATCATATGTTAAAGTGAATTTAATGATATATATCATGTATTCAATCATATATTCAAGTGAATTTCATTATATATATCATATATTCAATCATATATTCATGTGAATTTAATTATATATATCATATATTCAACCATATATTAAAGTGAATTTAATTATATATATCATATATTAAACCATATATTAAAGTGAATTTAATTATATATATCATATATTCAATCACATATTAAAGTGAATGTAATTATATATATCATATATTCAGTCATATATTAAAGTGAATTTAATTATATATATCATATATTCAACCATATATTAAAGTGAATGTAATTATATTTATCATATATTTAACCATATATTAAAGTGAATTTAATTATATATATCATATATTCAACCATATATTAAAGTGAATTTAATTATATATATAATATATTCAGTCATATATTAAAGTGAATTTAATTATATATATCATATATTCAACCATATATTAAAGTGAATTTAATTATATATATAATATATTCAATCATATATTAAAGTGAATTTAATTATATATATCATATATTCAATCATATATTAAAGTGAATTTAATTATATATATCATATATTCAGTCATATATTAAAATGAATTTAATTATATATATCATATATTCAATCATATATTAAAGTGAATTTAATGATATATATCATATATTCAATCATATATTCAAGTGAATTTCATTATACATATATAATATATTCAGTCATACATTCAATTGAATTTAATTATATATATCATATATTTAATCTTATATTTTAAGTGAATGTAGTTATATATATCATATATTCAATCATATATTCAAGTGAATGTAATTGTATATATCATATATTTAATCATATATATTCAAGTGATTGTAATTATATGTGTCATATTTCAATCATATATTCAATCATATATTCAAGTGCATGATCATTTATATTCAACTATAGAAAGTGACAAGTATTAACATCGATATCCACCATTCTAAAGTTTTCAGCTCTGAGCTGGGAACTTTAGAATGGATAACCTTTAATCTCAACTACTTAATCCGAATATCCACTCTGGAAACTTTTAATTTTAGTCCTTAATCCACTCTTTTTCCCTCCATTTGGATATCCGTATATTGTTTTCTCCAATGAGAGTGCAGGAATATAGTTTGTAAATTGTATTAACCAATGACAGCCTTGAAAATAAATTCTATCCCATGAGAGAAATCCGCAATTTCTAACAAATAAAGAATTAGTTGTCGGCCATTTTGTAAATATTTAGTAATTTCTTTTTAACCAATTTTAACTAATGGGTGAGTAATTAAGTGAAGGCCCTTCCAGTCAAGAAAACGAACAAATATGGCGTTCCAAGAATCAAATTTGTTGATCTAAATATTAAATCTGGTGACACAGATAATCTCGAGATTATGTTAGTCTCGAGATTAGCAAAAAGAGAGGATTAAGCATTAATTCTGATATCCACTATTCTACAGTTCCCAGCTCTGGTTTATAGATACATATTCGAGGTTTAAAAAGAATTTTATATATTTTCCGAAAGCCATCAATTAGATAAGTTATGAACTTATGATTGAACATATATATAAGTTTTTTTAATAAACCGTAACAAAACACCAAAAGGGTATCAAATCATATACTAAAAAACATTGGTTAAAAGAGGAAAATGTAGTTTAGAGGAGTATCAGTGTAANCTGCATACCTTTTCAACCTTTTAGCGAAAACTATCGTTAAATATTGAATAAGCCATATTTCACTATTTTCTTCTTTCTAAAATTGACCAAAAATAGTCATGAAAAATATGAAGATATGTTCTGCTTTCATGAAAATTGGATTCACCCTAGTTTGATTTCTGGAAAATACTAGTTTTCTATGCTAACAAGTTTTATATTGAAATATGATAGGATTTATTGAATAACAGAAAGAAAAACGTGTTTGTACAAAAAAATGTATGTTTTTATTTTTGTTTTTATTTGATAAAAAGAGTAGGAGAGATAGTCCTATATCAAAACATATAGATGTTCTTAGATGAAATATTTTTCGGAAATTTTAGGGTAAGAAAAGTCATGTGTTGCCGGGTGGGAAGGAAACTATCCCCCCCTCATTTGGTTTGGAATGTTGATTTATACATAATATAAACTAGTTTTAACATAGATGAAACCAATGTGCCAATATGTTCTTGAAATATTAGATCAAATCACTAGTTTGTCAGTGTATATAAGGAGACGGGGAAATTGTAGGAATCACTTCCAAGATGTTCGCTGCAGAGATTGGATTGGTTGTTCTCCTGGCTGCTGTTAGCTCCAGCCTATCCCGACCTCCCACTGCTGCAAGCGAAGCTGAGAAGTATGGTTATAGCGGAGACCTGAATGTGTTTCTTAATCCTGATGCCTATGATCCTAACAACCCTAACAAGGCTAGGAACTATCAGGTTGATGAAGACACGCTCTCCAGGACAACTGCAGGAAGAAGATTAGCATTCGCCAGATTGAATTCTGAAACCAGTCCCTTTCCCTCGAGCAATTTCCTGAGGGCCTCCACTGTTTCAAACAATGCCTTTCTTGGAAACACAAATTTTGCCACCGGTTCTGGATATCTAGCCAACAGAGCAATCATTAGTTATCCTGAAAATACCAACAATGTTGCATACCCTTCTAAAACAGCAGCTTACCTTTCCAACCAAGCAGTTCGGAAAAACACCGATACGGCATATGTAAGTGCCTACCCAATAAATCCAGCATACACCTCAAACACTAACTATCCTACCATAACAGGTTATCCTGATGTAACCTTCTCAAGGAATCCTAGCATTATAGGAACTAAAAGATTTAATGTATATCCTGCAGTAAACACCGGACTTACAGCTAACTCTGTCTACCAGGCTGACCAATCTGGTGCTCTGATTTATCCATCTACAGCTGGTGCTATAACTTATCCGTCTACAGCTGGTGCTCTAACTTATCCGCCTACAGCTGGTGCTCTAACTGATGTTCAGGCCTATCCTTCTTCTGCTGGTGTGCGGACCCAAACTTCAGTCAATGGTGTTCTGTCCCATCTGTCTTCAGCTGATGTTCAGAGATATCCTTTTACTGCTGGGGTTCTAACCCATCCTTCAGCTGGTGAATTGATTTATAATAATGTCTACACGTTCCCATCAAGAACAGCCATTAGCAGAAATACTGCCAACCCTGCTTACCCATTTGTTTACGAAAACAATGCATTCCCTCGAAGAACATTGTTCAACGCAAATCCATTCCCAGTAAATCCATCTTTAGCATATGCTTCCCAATACTCTGATGGGTCTAATCAGTCCAGTAGGGTTGCTGCTGGTGAAACTGGAACATATTTGTTTCCTGCCAGCACTTCTCCCCTTGCAGCTGCAAACATTCTTAGAACAACATCAATCTGATCAATTTTCTAAACGTTAAATGATATATTTGGAAACTAGTGTTTACTCTTGTCCTACCATTGTCCTTTAATTGAAATAAATATTTTAAAGATGTATCTGGGCTTTTTATTTTCTTTATAAAAGGATATATTGGCATAATTTCAAGTGACCATTAATTTAATTTCTCAACGGACGGAACCTTTAAATTTCTTCTGTATAGGGATTTTTTCTTGTTTTTTTCTTTAATCTTTTAAATGTCTTTTAATGAAAAAAACGATTATATTTTCCTCATTGTTGATCCTAAGCAATGAATTGTTTTGCAAAAATCAAATTTTTTCTTTTTATTTGTTTTGATTTTTGTGTAATTTATAGTTTGCGAAATTTTTCTGGTTTACTGTTAAAACATTTTGTTCTAGACATAAAAAAAGCATGAGTTTGTTTATCACTTTTTTCAAGAGTGTAAGATTTCAGTCTCTTGTACTTTGGTGCATTCAACATACTTGTGGAATTTTTTTACACAGTGTAGGGGGTTTTAAATCCATTGATTCTTTTTACAAAATTTGAAACCTTTGTCGAAATAAAAAGGATGGAAAGCTTTTCAAGTTTTTTTTTAACTAAAAAAATTATTTTCTATTGCAGTTCTCTATCATAGTAAATGGAGAATTTTTAAACGGAGAAAAATATTTTAATTAAGCGCATTTATATATTTTTAAGATTGGGTAAACCGAACGATATAATTTTTATCTTTAATCAATAAGAAGGGACAAAGGCTACGCTTGTAAATTCAGGCAGGCATGTAATGTTTTAAATTGGTGGTCACTAATATCATTCATATTATTTTCCTTAATTACGGCTACAGTCCCTTTAATAATAGTTAA